TATGTGTATCATATTTTGGGAAACACTGAGTTAGCACATGGGTAGCATCGCGAGGGCCCCTAAGCAACATGAGAGTTGTGCCATGAGGTAGAGGGTCCTGGAAAATCCAAAAGGTTAACTTGACTATTTTATTACTGGTCAAATTTAGCCCTAGTACCAAAGGGCACATGCATATATTGGCCAGAGACTAGCCAACGAAGTGGGGTGGGGAGTTGAACGGGTGGGAGAAATGTTGGCTGAAGCAATCACAGAAAGAAAGATAAGTCCTGCAGGTTAAGAGGAAGGCCTAGCAGCCAGAGGTATGATTTGGCAGGAGGACTTGAGTTTGAGGAAAGGGAAGGGTCTATGGGACCAGGGGATGAACGCGACAGCTGTGCTCAGCTGTGGTGTCTGCTCCAGGGAGCAGCACCGTTCCTTGGCCAAAGCGTGAAGACGGCAGAGGTCCCACCCTTCCCCACCACCTGCCCTTTGTGCTCTCAAGCTCCCAAGAGAGGCGCTGTTCAAGCAAAGGATTTAGGATGGACTGCCCGAGTATTGATCACCTCTCAGACCCCTGTGTTCTGGAGAATGATATTGATTAGCCAGTGGGGTGAGCTGCTAAAGGAACGTCTTTGGCAGACAGGGAAGTGGTGAAGAGGTGGTGAGCCTTTCAAATCCACCTCGAGTCAATCCCTGAAGTCCATCCCGACTGTGAGGGGTCTGAAAGAGAAGCCTTGGCCAAGACAGCTCATCAAGTCCCGATTACTGCTTTTGTTTTTGTTTTTTTAACTTTTTAAAATATTGTACTAAAATACACAGAATGTAAATTTACCATCTTAATCATTTTTAAGTATGTAATTCAACAGCATTACGAATACTCACATTGTTTTGCAGCCATCACCCCTATCCATCTCCAGAACTTTTATATCCTCCCAAATTGAAACTCTGTACCCATTAAACAATAACTCTCCATTCCCCGTCTCCCAGTCCCTGGCAACCACCATTCTACTTTCTATCTTTATGAATTTGACTATTCCAGGTACCTCATATAAGAAGGATCACACAATATTTGTCTTTTTTGTCAGGCTTATTTTGCTTTAGCATATAATGTCTTCAAGGTTGGTCCATGTTGTAGCATCGAGTCCTGATTATTTTTACCTGTTATTTTTCATTACAATCTATAAGACTCCTTTCAGGAGCGTAGATTCCACTTCCTACTGTGTCAAATGTGAACTTTGTTTCTGTGTTGATAATATATTTTACTTAATTTCTTTCCTTCATTCTGCTGGCTCACTTTTCTTGTCCAGCTTGATCACTTACATCTCCTCTTTAATCAAAGAGTTTGTTTTCTTTATTTCCTTTATAATGTTAAGTTGAAATTGTATTATTTCTTGGAACAAATCATCTTCCAAAGGGTGTTCCTCATCTCTCCTTTGCTAGTCATGCTTTCGTTTTCCTCTCCTTTTTATATTATCTTGGCTTGCATCTCCTGTTGGATCCCTCCTGCTTATCACTCCTCTTTGAATAAGAGTAGTTTTATCTGGTGCTCATAGTGAATTCTTTACTTAACCTTCCATTTACCTTGGCTTTCTTCCACTATTATCTTAAATGCAAACTGGCTAGCTGGGTGTTATCATTGGTTTTCAATTTCTGTTTAGTCCTTTGGCTTCTTTGGTGAAGAGAGGGATATGACCTGGATTAGTAAGCAGTCAAGTGTCTCGATTTGCTTATGCTGCCTCAGAATATTTTTCACACAGAATCTGATGAATTATCCACCCTGGGGTCATGCTTAGATCCATGGGAGAAGGTCCCCTGAGATTTGAGCTATTTCCTCTTTTTTTTTTCCACAGACGAGCAGATCATTCTGGTTGCAAGCTAGGCTCCATGGCACAGAAAGTTTTGATTTGCTAGGTCATCTTTTGTTTATCTCTGCTCAGATAACTTTAATCCACAGTTGAATTTTAGGCCGTTGTTTCTTTCCACTGTGAAGGGTTGAAGTTTGATTCTTCAAAGCTTTTACTAAAATCTGTTTTACCTGAGCTTCGGATAGATGAATGTTGTATCTGACAATGTAGTACATTGATTACTAGGATGGACTCTGGAGTCAGAGTGATTGAATCCAAATATTGGCTCTGCCACCTATTAGCTGATGACCATGTACAATTTATTAAACTTGTCTGGGCTACAATTTCCTATCTTTGAAATGGGGCTAATAGTAGTACCTACTTTATAGGGTTGATCGAGGATTAAAATGAGTTAATACAAATAAAAGGACTCAGAGCAAACCTGGCATAAAGTAAGGGCTCCATAGATGTTAGCCATTGTAGTCTAAGTTAGGGGGTAAATGTGTATTTACCATCTGTACAAGAAATTCTTAAGGATTAAATTCAATAATGTCTAGAAAGCCCATAGCATAGTGCTTGATACAAAATTGGCCTTCAAAACATGAGCAGTGAGGGAGGGAGGTGGAGGAAAGAGGCTACCCATGAGTTTGTCTTTGCTCTGGGCTAAAGCTTTAGAATGTGCCCCTTTCCTCCCATTCAAACATTTACCGAGCACCTTCATAGGTTTGCCACCAGCAAATCAAAGAGAAGTTGGATCCCTGCAGGAGCTCGCAGACTTAGAGTTCTCTCAACGCCTCCTCACCCACTTGGATTCTAAATATTTAAAGGTAATTATTGTATCAAGCAAGCAAAAGCCCAGTGATCTTACACTTCAACTCATCCTTAAACTCAACAATATCCACATAATTCTAGTTACTGAGGACAAATACACCAACACCGTCTTGGAAAATCTCAAACTAATCCGCTCCAGCTTCTTATAATTCTCAAGAAATCCTCCCAAAATGTGATCTTTGTGACATGTCAGTCACTCTCCCCAAGTAGGCTGCCCACTTCACAGTGGGCCACATTTCCAGCCTTGCCTACATTTCTTTATACCAAATATCAACCGAGACTCTGGACTTGGGTGCCCTCTAGGTGTCATAGGGTGCTACTGCATGCACATAAGAGTCCCGATGGATATATATAGCACAAGGACTTGGAGAATTTCATGGAATCCAATTGCAAGAAATAAATCTAAATATACAAAGTCACACACAGGTGACTACTCTCTCCATTACTCTCTTGGACTGCATGGTCTTCCAGCCGGCTAGGATTAAGCTCTGTTGTAAATGACAGAAAACCCCAAATAATAATGGCTCAAAGAAGGTAAAAATTTGTTTTTTCTCTCAAGTGGAAGTATGGGTAGGCAGTCCAGGACAGAGACCCAGTTCTTTTATCTTGCTGCCCTTCTCAACGTGCAGCTACCTCCCGTCTCAAGATGGCTGCCTCGACTTGAGCCATTCTCTCTTCATTCCAGACAGCAGGAAGGAGGCAAGAGGAATAAGGCATGTCCCTCCCATCGAAGAGGCAGTAGTCTTCACTTAACGTCATTGATAGGTTCTCCAACTTTAAGTGAAACGATGTATAGCAAAACCAATTTTATCATAGGCTAATTGATATGAACAAGAGTTAAGTTCCTGTGACATCTCATTAACGGTATTCGAGGACCTGTACACTTCCTGGAAATGGCGCAAAACATTTCTATCTATATCCCACTGGCCAGAACAGTCACCTGGCCACACCCAGCTAGAAGGGAGGCTTGAATACATGGTCTTTATTTCATGTGTCTTGCAGGGGCTCTGTTATTTAAGAAGAGGAGGTGAATATCGAGGAACAATATGCAGTCCCTACCAGTCTTTCATCCCCGCCGCTCTCCACAAATTGACTCTTTTCTCTTCTCTGCAGACCAGCCTTCTCTGTTCTGAGTTTCTGACCCCTCACACTTTCTGCTTCCACTTGTACAAGACTTTGGGTGGCCACAGTGTCGGCTCTTAGCCCAACTCCACAGGATTTTTCAGTTCCAAAGCCACACATGGTCTAGCCACCTCAGGTTCTATGTCTTAATTCCAAGTTCCTAGAGAGAAGTTTGATTTGTCCTGCTTGGTTCAGGCAATCACCTCCCCAACTCTGAGCCTAGAGCATGGTGGGGCTCCCCCTTTTAGAACAAGATGGAGCAAGTTTTCTAAGAGGTGTAAGTGGGAGGAAGTGACAAACATCTTTAGTAAGTCCTCCCTCTGAGCTTAGCCCTATCACCACAGCCTTGGGATGCAGTTGTCAGTTTGCTTGTCCTTAGGAAAGAGATGCATCCTTTCATATCTCATCCCCAGAGCCTATAAGTCCCTGGCACACCCAGTATTTGTTGTAGAATGAACACACCAATCTGTTCCTTAATTTTACAAAATTTGAATGCTTGCCCAAATTTACATAGTAGAACAGTGTCATAGGGCAGCAAAAGAACCCAGGACCCCTAATTCCCAGCCCCTGGAGTGATTTCCCAGAATTCTTTATCATGATGTGGCTTGTTTGCTCCATCTTTAGCACTTGTCACTGCTTGTGCCCTCCCTGCCCAGGGCTGCAAAAGCTATGCTCTCCTCAGGTGTGGCCCCTTGAGAGCCCCAGGCTGGAGGACACTGGCTGCAACACTCAGAGTCTATTTCCTACCTGAGCCTTCCTGCCAAGGTTAATGTCACCCCACACCTCCAAGATGGGCCCTTTTGGGGAGACCGCATCCTGACAAAGCCTTGACCAGAGCTAGGCTCTGGATGCAAAGACAGTCAAGGAAGTAGGCTGAATAATGAGATAAAGGTGGGAAACAAGGTCTCCGTTGCCATCCACCCTGATCTGCTTGCAGAGGGGGGCCCAACCATAGAAAAGAGCTGATGCCACCTCCTCCACCCTTCTCCCCCTCCCCAGCTCCCATTACATTGTCCCCTGCCTGCCAGTTCCCTCGTGCTTCGCGGTGCCTGTTGTTGCCACCCACCCTGATCTGCTTGCAGAGGGGGGGCCCAACCAGAGGAAAGAGCTGATGCCACCTCCTCCACCATTCTCCCCCTCCCCAGCTCCCATTACATTGTCCTCTGCCTGCCAGTTCCCTCGTGCTTCGCGGTGCCTGTTTACTCACACTACCCGTCCCTGCAGGCCTCGAATCCTCTGTGGCAATCCCGGGGCTCCACCACTGTGTCTTCCGGGGGCCGTTTCCGCTGCCCGTCTTGCAGACATGAGGTTGTCCTGGACCGACATGGTGTCTACGGCCTGCAGCGAAACCTGCTAGTGGAGAACATCATAGACATTTACAAGCAGGAGTCTTCTCGGTAAGCTGTCAGGGCCTTTCGTCTCTCTAAGGGGCAAGGCCTGGGATACAACCTGGGAACAGTCAGGGCCAGAAGGGAGGAGCTGAAACAACCAACCTGACCCCCAGTTTAGAGATGAGAGGTGTGGACCCAAAGAGCGGGGAGGGACTTGCCCCAGGTCACCCAGCTCAGTGGTCACTGGTCCCCGGTCAATGTTTCGCCTTCACTCTCTCCACCTGGGGAGGGGCTGGCAGTCCACCAGCAAGATCCTTGCCAACCCTCCATTACTTCCTGCCCTGTGGGACTTCCCTGTCTCCTGGAATAGTGACTTCTTGGAACTAAGCCTCCTCTACCCCTTAGCTCTTTCTGTTTCTCAAATTAAGAGCACTGTGGAAGTCACTCACCTGCCCAGCCACAGGACCAGCTGCGGGAGCAGAGAAGGGGGTGGTGGTTGGTGGAGGCTGAAGAGAAAGTGTTCATGGGGACTCGCACTCTCAGGGCCTGTATCACCCGCTGGCCTGGGCCCTGACCGTCCTGCCATCCTGCCCACTCCCCTTCAGGCCATTGCACTCCAAGGCTGAGCAGCACCTCATGTGTGAGGAGCATGAAGAGGAGAAGATCAATATCTACTGCCTGAGCTGTGAAGTGCCCACCTGCTCTCTCTGCAAGGTCTTTGGTGCCCACAAGGACTGTGAGGTGGCCCCGCTGCCCACCATTTACAAACGCCAGAAGGTACCAAGCAGTGGAGGGAGCAGGCATGTGGGCTGGGGGACTAGGACAGAGTCTCTAACTTCAGCCTCTTACTCCACTTTGTTTTAAAGGCAGGCAGATCAGGACTAATGGATGCAAGCTGACACTTTAGTATAGTGGACTAGATACTCTCAAGGCTCTCCTGCTATCACAAATCTACATAAAATGTAATTTTAAAGTTATGCTGGTAGGCACATAGGAAGTAAAAGAGATCTTCAAGTGAAGGTGGGGTGGAGAGAGCGGGTAGGGGGAATGAGCTGAGAACAGAACCCTGAGTGGTAAGCACTGAAAAAGCAGGATTTCCCGGAGGATGAATGCTTGCAGTATTACTAAGCCAGAGAGATGAGACTCTGCCTCCAAACTCCTGAAAGGTGGGAGACCTGCAACGAAGACTCCTAAGAATCCCAGATTAAATCGAAATCCCAGGAACTAAAGTGGTCAGTTGTGCCACCTGGCTTTTGGCAAAAGCAAATGCAAATTACACCTGGAAAAAAAAAATCCTCAATTTAAGGCATTGGATTTCCCTTAGATTAAGAACGAAAGATTGGCTCACAACTGAAAATAGACAAAGAAAGGTACCCCTCTAGTGAAGTCAGCAGAAACAAAAATGACAGATTTAGATTCCCAGAGATTCAGATATTGGAATTATTAAAGAACAGAAAGTCACTGTATATAAAATGCTCTTAAAAAAGATGGAATTAAAAAAACAAGCAGTAATAGACTATCAAAAAAATTCAGATTTGGCAAAGAACCAAATAGAACTTTTCTTTATTATTTATTAATTAATTTATTTATTTATGGTGACGTTGGTTAATGAAATCCAATAAGTTTCAGCTGTACACTTTAACAGTAAGGCATATGTGTATTTACACTGTGTGTTCACCTCCCATAGTTAGATTTCTTTCTGTCACCACCTATTCGACCCCCTGTCTACCTTCCCCCTCCACCACCCCATACCCTCTGGTCCAAATAGAGCTTTTAGACATGAAAATATAATTGTTGAAATAAAACATTCAAAGATGAATTAAATGAGAGATTTCTCTGAGGAAAGAATTAGCGAACAGGAAGAGAGGACCCCCCCCCCCCAAAAAAAAAGCCTAGAATGCTGCACTGGGAGATGAGAATGAGAAAGTCTAACATATGTCTAATCTGAGTCACAGAATGAGAAAATAAAGAGAATAGAGAAAAAGCAATTTTATCCTCACAGATAATCAACAAAGAATTTTTCAGACTTGATGGAGGGTATGAATGTACAGATACAGCATCTAGCCAAGTGCCTGGCACTCGGTGTTATTTGCTGAATGTCTCTTCCTTTCTCATTTGGTGATGGAGGACTTCCTGTCTTGACCTCCTTCCAGAATCCATAGACTGTGCTTCCACACCTCTTGGATAGTTCCAAGCCCTCTAGATCGCTGGAATAGCTGCCTTGAAGATGTCCTGAGGGTGGGGTGGATAAGGACAGTTCTCTCCTAGACAGCCCTGGCTGGGGTAGGAGGGGTACAGCTCTGAACTAGGTCCTCTAGCTCAAAGTGCTGACCTGTATGTGTGGCAGAGTGAGCTCAGTGATGGCATCGCGATGCTGGTGGCGGGCAATGACCGTGTGCAAGCCGTGATCACACAGATGGAGGAGGTGTGCCAGACCATTGAGGTAAGCCTGGGATGGGAGAGAGGGAAAGTTTTTTGGGCTCTTGGAGGTGGATCACAAGTAGTGGGATGTGCTTAGCCAGGCTGCTAGTTTGAATCTCAGCTCTGCCCTTCACGAACTCTGTGACTTTGGTACAGTCACTTCTCTGTGTTTTGGTCTTGTTTTTAACTACATAAAATAGTGACAATAAGAATCATATGGTGCCTACCTCATTGCATCTTTTTGAGGACTAAATGTAATCAAAAAAGAAAAAAAAAGTAAAAACCAGGGCCAGAGACAGAGATAACATTCATGAGGCTACTCTAAAATATTGTGTTATTTGCTGAGATAGTTGATCTTAAAAGCTCTCATCATATGAAAAAAATACTATGTATGGTGACAGATGTTAACTAGAATATTGTGGTGATCGTTTCACAATATACACAAATATTTCACAATATACACAAATATTACATTGTGCACCTAAAACTAATATGATGTTATATGTCAATTACATTTCAAAAAAATATCCTATTTTTTTTTCTGAAAAGATCTGGGAATCAGCAGCCCTTGGCTAGAATTCTGGCTCTGCCACTAATGTGTAGTGTAATTGACAGGTCACTTTTCTTCTTGGCTCTCTGTGACTTCTAAGTGGGCAGTGGGACATGTAGGTGGACGCTTTTCCAGCTGTGAGGTCTCATCTTCATTCCCGGTCTTTCAGGACAACAGCCGGAGGCAGAAGCAGTTGCTAACCCAGAGATTCGAGACTCTTTGCGCGGTGCTGGAGGAGCGGAAGGGGGAGCTGCTGCAGGCGCTGGCGCGGAAGCAGGAGGAGAAGCTTCAGCGAGTCAGGGGCCTCATCCGCCAGTACGGAGACCACCTGGAGGCGTCCTCTAAACTCGTGGAGTCCGCCATCCAGTCCATGGAGGAGCCGCAGATGGCGCTCTACCTACAGGTGGGCCCTGGGGGAGGGTGGCAGGCCGCAGAGTGGCTGGAGTGGAGACTTTGGCACCTGGAGACCTGGGTTCCAGTCTTATCTCTGGCACTTACTTGCCTCACGGCCTTGGGCAAGTCGACTCGTCTGAGTCGGTTTTCTCCTTAGTGAATTGGAACATGCATCCACTGCCTACCCCGCAGGAATATGGGGGGCATCAGAAGTGGGACTGTGCCAGAGATTGGCACAGTGCTTTAACCCCCTCCCTTTTTCTTCCCTACAGCAGGCCAAGGAGCTGATCAATAAGTGAGTAGGCGGAGAGGGGAGGGAAAGGAAGGGGCCGCAGGGCTTCACTGACGCAGGGAGAGGGGGGTGGTGAGGGTGCTGGGGCGTTTCCAGATGAGCCACTGCCACCACTGCAGGGTCGGGGCAATGTCAAAGGTGGAGCTGGCAGGACGGCCAGAGCCAGGCTATGAAAGCATGGAGCAATTCACCGTGAACGTGGAGCACGTGGCCGAAATGCTGAGGACGATAGACTTCCAGCCAGGTGAGGGAGCCAGGAAGGGAGAGAGGCCGAGAGCTGCCGGGACTGAGTGTCAGGACCCACCGGGTGGGGGCGGGGTGGGGCATGAGGGCCAAACAAGCAAGGACTCCACCTCACGGGGTCTTCCTTCGGCCCAGGCGCTTCCGGGGAGGAAGAGGATGAGGAGGTGGTGTTGGACGGGGAAGAGGGCAGCGCTGGGCCAGAGGAAGACCGGCGGGATGGGCCGGAAGGTGAGTGTGGCCCAAGGGGCATTGAGGGCCTGGCTGGTACATTCCTATCCACCACCGCCCCCCGCCCGTGATTGCCCTTCCTGTGGGACCAGAGTTCACTTGTAGCCCCTATTCCTTTTAAGTGCCTCCCAACCCCCAGCAGGAGGGGAGTGCCCTCTAGTGCCGGTGCAATAGGACCCTTTCCCACCAGCCGTTCCTCTGCGGCTCTGGCAGACCAAGGTGGGTGTAAAAGTAGAGGACACACCCATGTGGCTGAGGAAAGGGGGTGAGCTGGGGTTCCGAGTTGCCTTGTTCCTTTGGAGAACCCGCCCACGTGCTTTCTTTCCTGGGGACAGGCCTGCACTGACCTCCCTCTGGGGGATCCCGCGCTCCAGGGACCTGGCGCTCAGGTGGTGGAAGATCTGCGCAGAGACCACCGTGCCCACCAGCTCGGCGCCCCGCCGTGGGGGGAGGGCTCAATAAAGGGCTAATGCATCCTGCTCCGCAGCTCCTTTCACTGCTCACTCCATCAGCCTCGGCTTCGGAGTCGACCCCATCACCATCCTGCCCTTCTACCGATCTGGGACCAGTTGGGAGGAGGAAGTGAATTGAACCCCATTGGGTACTTCGTTGATATCAGGCATGGATTCCTGAGCCCAATGCCAAGGGCAAAGAGTAGGGGGGTGATAAGGACTTGAGTTCCTGGGGGACTTGGGGAGAATGGGGACACAGGACTCTGGCTGAAAGCCATTCTCCCGGATGCTCCTCCTACAGCACTGGTTCCCTCCCGCTGGCCTTGGAGGCTCCACTTTCCCATGGGTTCCCTCCCTACTGTGGAACGTTTCCCGCACCCCTACAACAGAAGCCAAAGGTTCTTCAGCACTTTTATTAAAAACTAGTAACGCAGAGAGTGCTCAGGGTATCCCTGGGCCGCTCTAGCCCCGCAGGATTGGGTCAGTTCCAGTTGCGCACGGCCCAGCCCCGGAATGGGAGATGGGGGTCGAGGTTTTCAGGTCCCCAAACCCCACGGATCACTTGCCCACTGAGTCGAATATGATGCGGTTCTGCTCTGCACGCTCCCGCTGGCTCTGCGTCCGCGCCAGCTCCAGCAGGGTCCGCAGCAGGTGGAAGGTGAGGTCAATGGACAGCGGAGGGTCGTCCCGACGAGGCCGCTCGCCTTCGATCGCGGATCCCGGCCGGCCCCTCCCCGCGTGGCGCGGGAAGCGCTCTGCCAGCAGCAAGAGGAGTGAGCGCGCCCCGCCACCCTGGTTCCGAGACCCGGGACTCCAGCGCAGACTCGGGTCCTGGACCTCGGCTGCCACAGCCTCCGGGTTCCACTGGCTGCTCCCTGGGCGCAGCTGTGCCAGGAGCAGCAGCGCTGCCAGCAGCACCGAGCGTCCCGCCAGCCTCATGGTGCCACCGGCCCTGGACACATAGGGGCAGCTCAGGGTGAGGTGTGCTTGGTGAGTCGCAGGTGGCGCCACTCCCCTTCCCGCGCACATCTAGCGCCCACACCAGTCCCCTGCAGCTGCCGCCCGGTGCCCACAACCTTCCCTGCAGTCCCAGCCGCTGCCCAGTCCTGTGCCACCCTTTCCTACTTCCCTCCCTCCCGTCTCCCTCCCTCCCTTCCTCTTAGCGGGTCTCGGTGGGTGAGCTGAGTGCAGTCCTGGTGCTCAGGGAGTCTGGGTGGATGCTCCGAGCCACTCACAGGTTGCCAAACAGCGAATGGACAGTGCGGACGGAGCTCCAGTCTCTGTCCCTAGGGGCGGGCTGAGGATGCCTTGGGAAACACGGGGTCTGTCCCGGGACCGCCGCCAGCCTTATATAGCTCCAGGACAGCTCCGACTGACGTCAGCAGGGAACATGCACTGATTGTAGAGCAATGACGGCACGACTTCGAGTCCAGCGGGTGGCGAGACCCCCAGGGGCACGTCTCTGGGGCTTACGCTGGAAGCGACAGCAGACTCAGTGAGTGAGAAGCTGGCTAGGGCATAAAGATTGCTCTGGGAGCCACAAGAGTCCTTCACCGGCTTAGAACAGTATGCAGTGCCTAGGGCTGGTTCCCAGACCAGAGTCCAGATCACCAGTCTTCTTTGGCACATAAAAGGGTGGCTGGATCGCGGGGCTGTCCGTGGTGCTGATCCTGCCCTTTGTCTCCAGAGGGGCCAGAGGCATTGGGAGAACGCTGTGCTGCTCAGACCCAGTTCCTTGCCCTACCTACCAGCTGTGTAAACTGAGGCAATCAGGAGTGCAACCCTGGCACTCAGCCATCACCATGGTACCCAGCCGAGGCAGGCTGAGTCAGTCAGAATTCTCGATCTTATTCTAGCCCCAGGACCTAAATTCTAGGGTTGTCTGAGTGAAACACCATAAAAAAAGGGTTTCTGGCCTCGGAAGTGCTTTCAGATCACAAAAGGCTGGTCCATCTGCATCTGAGTTTGCCCCAAAGCGTTGGCTTAGCCAAGTGAATATTTTTCCTGAGAATCTCAGCAGCAGTATATCTTTGACCTCTAGGTTAAGAAAGTGAGGAAATATGGTATCTTAGTCCATTCAAGCTTCTTTAACAAAAGTACCACAAACTGGGTAGCTTATAAGCAAGAAACATTCATTTCTCATAATTCTGGAGGCTGAGAAGTCCAAGATCATGGCACCAGTAGATTCAGTGTCTGGCGAGGATGTTTACTGGTTCCACAGCAAGATGGCATTTTCTTGCTGTGTCCTCACATGGCCCATGAGGGCTCTGCCCCACTCCCTAATACCATCACCTTGGGTATTAGGTTTTTCACCATATGAATTTGGGGTGTATTCAAACATTCAATCTATAGCATGTGGGTTGAAGTTTCTATTCTGCCACTAACTCATGTTGTGGACTGGTCACCTCACCTCTATGGACCTCAGTGTCCTCATCTGTAAAAGAAGATTGGGCTTGGTGGTCTCTAACTTCTGTCCATCTCCAGAAACTTTGACTCCACTGTATTTTTGTTGGGTCTTACCCATTGCCTCTGGATTACATGTTTATAATATATTTATGGAGGTTTCACCTAAAGGGTTTGAGGGAGTCCCCAAAGAAGTGGAGCTATGCTAGGGCTGGGAAGGGTTCGAGAAACAGAAGTATCTATGAAAAGCAGAGATGAGTGGCACTGGCTGGAATATGGGTATAAGCTAAGTTGACAAGATCATATAGTTAAATATTTATGGAGTGCCCACTATGTGGTCAGCATAAGACCATTATAAAGGTTTCAGTGAATTCAAAAAGGAGTCAGTTTATATTTTAGAGCGAAATGGACCATTTCATTGTGCTAACCCCATTAAGTTGTGACCAGCAACCGAACTCCATGAAAACCAATGTGCCCACTTTGAGGATGTCATCTGACCAGAGTCAAGCTGTATCACTGCAAGGTAGAAGCAGTGGAGTGAGGCAGACCTAGAGCCGATGTGCCTTCCAGGACAGGTAGGAGTTCCAGATGACAGCAACACACTGGACAATAGCCAACCTAAGGAACAGGAATGGCATCGTGAAGAAGGATAAGGAGAAAGCAAGAGCAGCAGAGGGCGAGGGGAGAGATGGGAAAGCATAATGGAAAAGGAGGGATTATCTCTGGGAACATCCAGATTTACATCTCCTTCCTTCAGCCCCCTGTGGAGACAAGTGGCTCAGACCAGAGGACAACCAGCTCAGGTTCTGGTGCTGTCCCAGAGGTCTGTCTCCTGGATAAGAGCCTCAAAGTGAAATACCCTCAGCAGCCATCTTGTCCTGCATGGTTCTGTTATTCACGCTCCTGTCCAGGCTCCTTCTAAATACACGCGTCTCTCTGCCTTGTACCAGCTGAGAAGCTCTCATCTTCCAAAAATGTACTCTCCACCATAGAAAGTAGCACCTCTTTTTTATGTTTTAAATTGACCCTGCTTTAGTTTCAAAGACTGTTGCAAGGACCCTAATGTTTGAAATTTGGTTCATAAGTCTATATTCCTTTTAGCTATGCTATTTATGTAAATTTTAACCATATCCCCTCTGAAGTGTTTCATATTTTTTTCCCCTGTTCCTAAAGCCCCCTCACTTCCATAATTTTAACTACTCATCCTGAGTTCTACTATATTTTTATCGCAGGTTCGACAACTACCTTTATTATTAGGGTAAAATAGTACTTTGCAGTGGACTGAGCTGATCAGGTTCCTCCATGGTGCTTTGGTCTACCTTTCTGTCTAACCTAGGCTGCAGCCACACCCCCCGCCACCCCAGGCACTGTCCCTGCAGCAAAGGTAGAGAGCTCAAGTGGGATGGAGCCCAGGATTGTGGAGCTGGACCCTCCCCAGGAAGATGAAGGTCAGTGGGCAGACGCACTGGGACAGATTCTGTCATGAGTAAGAGGTTCTGAATAAAATGCTCAGGAGTCTAGGAGCTCCGATCAGAGCAGAGTGTTCTGGGGGGTCTAAAGTAGCTCAAGGTTGAATGAGAATCATTTTATCTACAAGTGTTCATAATGTGGCTTTCCTTGAAGGGTGGGGGAGGGATCTGTCATACCTGTAATGAAGGGGGACCAGGTAGAAGTTGGCTAGCTGCACAGCAGGCCAGAGCTACAAGAGAGAGAAGGTAAATGTTGGGGGGCTGCCTTCATCACCTGACCTTAGACTCACTGCCTTGCCTGGTCTTTCTCCAACTTCTGAAAACAATAACAAGTTGAACAGCTGGGTGACTGCTTCCCTGAGTGCGGTGCCCACACTGGAAATGAGAGAATAATCCCCATCGAGGGATTACTATGTCGGGAGGACCCCCAATCCCTAGGCACTTCTGGACTCAAGGAAGCAGAAGAGGCAGCGGAGGTGTCAGCTCTTACACAGTAGTTGGTGAGGAGGGCATCGGGATAATCCTGAGGAGACAGAGAAGGAAGAAATGAACACCTGTACTTCCAAGCAGCCACCACCCCCTAGTCTGAATATCACACGCAGACTTCTGTTCAAAGAGCACACTCCTGCACCACACTCCCCTCAGCTCCGTTCCTCCAGAGCCTGGGACTCTGCTTGCACTTCGGCCTGTCTCACCCCCGTGAAGCCCGCCTCACACCCCTGGGCATGCCAGTCTGCCAGCCAGACATCTTCCCCACCACACCTGCCCAGCTCACCTGCTGGAGTTTGGCCCAATTGTCCTGGGCTGACAGTCCATTGAGTGTCCCTATCAGTGGGAGGAAACAGCCTAGAAAACATGGGGCAAAGGCCCCCTAGGAAAGAGAAATTAGAGCTGTGAGCACCTAAACCCCATTCTCCCCCAGTGCAGCGCACCCTCCCCAGTACCTTTTCTCCCACTCACCTGATCCAACAACATCTTTTTTAGTGCGTCCACCTTGGTGGTGCCAGGGATGAGCCGGTCTAAAACCCTGTACCAGCCTCCTACGACAGGGCCCTGAAAGTAAACCCCAGGGAGTGCAGCAGGGATGCAGTGAGGGGACCAGTTGGCTTTTATATCACAAAGCTCCTCCCCTGAGTATTAGAAACCAAATTCCAGGGCAGGCATATACTTGAGGCTGGCTTAGATGTGAGAAAGGCCAAGGGCAACAGACCACTGTCCAATCCACCGACAGTCCTCCTGTGGGCAGAACTTACCACAAAGCCACAGCCCAGAGAGGCCATGGTTAAGGTCCGGCCAATCTGGTGTTCCTTCAGACCTCGCCTCTCCACCAGCTGCTGTGAGATAACATCACCCAGGCCCATCAGGGACCCTGTGTGGGGTACACAGATGTTGTCAGGACACCTCCCAGAATGGGCTGCCAGTCCAAGGAGCTTGTTCTGCTGAGCTGAACAAGGCTCTAGCGCTCTGGACCTAAGGGGCTGAATTCTGGGGCAAATGGCCAGTCCCTGGCTGCTGCTTCAAAGCTCTCCTCTCCCAAGGATGGGGACACCTCATGTGTGTCCTGTTAGAAACTGGGATGAGCAGTCTTGAGCAGGCCAGGGCCCAAGAACTCTGCATTGAGCAGTCAAGGGGAGTCAGCATCAGAAACTTCGGCTAGAGGAAGGAAAATCTAAGGTTCCAGGGGCTGAGAACCATGGACTGCCAGAATTGGAAAAGCCTTCCAGATAATTTCACCCAAACCTCTTACTTTAGAGGTATGGAATGAAGTTCTGGGACTTCGCATAACTAGTAAGCGGCAGAGACAAGGAAAAAACCAGGTGGCTTGATTTTCTAGACATTTTTTCCAGGATACCACACTATGAATAGATCATGTGTAGAACAGTAAGGAAAACTAAAGAACCTTTACTATTTTCCCCCAGCCCAAAGCAAGACCGTAGCCAATGTCGTTCGCCTTGGTCTTGGGGTCTCTATTTGTGGAGAACAGCCAAGAATAACTGTTTTTCTGAATATGAGTAGTCAGATGGTCCCAGGCAGGATGATGACTGGTTGAGCTGGTAGGCAAGCCCACAGGGAAGAGTCCTGGCCACCTCTTAGCACAATCAGGTAAACCCAGATTTCCCCATTCACAACCTTAGGTTGAGCGGGCAATAGGTATTACAGTCATTTCTCCCCCAGAGCTTTGCAAGTGCTTCCCCTCCCCTCACCTGCACAGATACCCAGCTCTAAGAAGCCCCTGTCAGACATCCGCACCCAGAATTCATCACTATTTACAGAGGCCGCCCCATCAGTTATGGTGGTGTGATGATTTCTAGCAAATACACTTATAGGGCTGCTTGGAGTGACCGTTTGATCTCCAGCTCGCCTGTTCATCTCACTGAGTAATGAGAGTCCCCCTCCAGCCCTGTAGCCACCACCATCCCTGTGCCCTCAATTAGCGCTGGGCAAACACATCCTTCAACCCCTTTCCTTGGCCCGGAGCTGGCTCTGACGTCTGTGCTGGCTGCACACTCACTGCTCTTCCCCCGCATCTTCTGCACAGCCCTGCCCCTGAGTAGCCTCATCAGAGGCAGCTGGGCAAGGCTGAGAGCTGGGGTGGGAGCTGGGGGACTGGTAGGTGACCTAGGCTACTGCTGCTGGCACTCTCAGACATGGAGAAACTCTGGGACACCCAGCACACCCATCAGCCTTGCCTCTCCTCTCCCTGAAACTCCCAAAGAGGTGGAAGTTCTTTCCAGAACACAGCTAGACACACCCTCCAAGAGGACAAGGACAGAATCCTAGACATCTTTGTTCTCTTCTTCCCTGCCACACCTAACCAAGCCCCTGGCAGGTGCTCAGAAAATAGACCAAGGAAGAATGTCAAATGTACTGCCCCAAACAACAGGACTACTCTGGGAAAGGCCATGAAGACCTCTAAGTTTAGTCCAAAGGACCACATGTCAGGCTCAAGGTGTGAGGACCAGTGGGACTGAAGGCTTGTTCCCCACAGTTAGCACTTAACTCCCTACCCCTCTTCCTGACAACTTGGGGCCACCAGTTGTACTCCCAGGTAGGAGAGGGAGCTGCTGTGGCCATGCATGAAGAGAATAGTGGCCCTGAGAAGGCCCGGGGGAGGCGCGGGGAGGCGGGATGAAACAGAAAGGCAGTCACTTCTTAAATGAAGACTAACAGTTTGACGTTCTACTTTGGCAAGATGTTTAGGCTTTACAAAGGGGTCTCACACATTTAATCGTCACAAAAGGTCTGAGAGATAAGGAGTCACACCTCTATTTAATGTTTTGAGAGATGAGGTGACTTGGTAAGGAGTGGAGCTGGGGCCTAAACTCAGGTCTTCTCTTGAGGAGGAGCAGGAGGCCAGGGGATTCCCGGCATAGGCGGAGACTTGGGCTCAGGGGCCAGAAGGTGCCAAGAGGCTCCTGTGGCCGCTAGGACGTGCCTGCCCATACCAGGCCTCAAAGGTCCACATATTAAAGATACTTCCTGGACTAGTGAACTTCCTGTCTTTTACTTCCCAAAATGTGACCATCTCTGTTCCTTGTCACCTGTGGGGAGTGTAGCAGCAATATTCCCAGGAAAGAAAAGAGTCACAAAGAGAGGTGTGTGTTTTCACTCTTCACGTTGCCAACAGTCACACAAGCTAAAGGCAGAGCAGGAA